CACAAGGGCCATAATCATGATCTTTTAGTAGATGAAAGTAAACTCTTTTTTTACAAGTTTTATCGAATTGTCAATATACTGGTATTAATATAATAGCAATAACCCCCGCCGAAGTTGGGTATACCACTTGATATTGCACAATTCACTCCATATATGCACTCGCCTGCGGCTCGTGCATATATGTCGTGAATTGTGCAATATCTCGTGGTATACCCGCCTTCGGCGGGGGTTATTGCTTAATTAGAGGTGATTGTCTGCGTACTACGTCACAATACGTCATATCCTGAATACTTTTATAACAGTATTTAGGAAAACGAAGTAATATAAAGATAATATATTTTCATAATTATAATCTACTTATATCGTCGTCGAATCCTGCGTTGTCCCGTGTTTTTTTTTTTTTGAAACAGATGGCAATTACCCGGGTGCACTGCAATTTTGTCAGCTGCCGCTATCCGGACACCGGTTGTTATTGGTGGCATACATTTTTGCCTGTGACTCATAGTTTTTTTGCATTTTTGTCATTAAATCCCTCAATTATATCTTGTACTTAAAGATCATGTTTTCTTTGTTGGAAGTTCGCAATCCATCTCAAAGTAACAACACTGAGAACATAGCGTTCTGGCGTTCGTGTAGGCACCTCACGGTGTTGAGGGACAGTGGTTTAGGTTTGTGTGGCGAACGACGCTCACAACTTGGATCCCACCATTAACAAAAAGCAATATTATAGTTATATAACTTTTCAGATGTTTTTAATTCAGTATTTTTTTCAATATTCTTCCAAAATTCAACCACTATATTTCCCTAAAAATCAAATAATACCGGTTTTATGTATTTCCGTATTAAACCTGTAGTCAATTCATGTTCCAGGGCCACTTGGTTTAGCCGTGCATTATCAGCCAATATACCATGGATTGCATTTCGCTGGTTCCCGGCGTCCTTTGCGAATGGTAGGTAGGACGCAGGTAACTAGTAATCGCCATATTGTTCCATTTGGGCCGGTTTTCCGGCCGGAAGGCACGTGACTGAGTGACGTAATTTGAAAACATTCCCAGTTCCGTTCTGCGTAAACATGTCTATAATACTACAATAAAGCCATGCTCAAACATACTGCCTGCTTAGATTTACACATTTGAGATGTTTCTGACATTCCTCGCTGTTTCTGTGAAAATTTATAACAAAAGAAACAGTTTTTTATTCGCCCAACTTTCGAAAGTAAAAGGAAACCCCTGAACGGCCACGAGCGTAAGCGCTGACGTCAGGTAACTAAGGGAAATGGAACAAGCAACGAGAAAGTGGTGTACCAATCAGAATGCCGGAACCGTTACTAGTTACCGGCCTCTTGTGGCTTGGTACGCCATGACACTTGAGGCGGGAACCAGCCAAGGATTGCATATGCAAATTTTGTGTTTGGACCAATCAAATCAATGGATTAACACCATCAATATACTGGTATAATATAATTTACAATATTTCATAATCGGTACTGTGATTGGGCAATAGACGAAGATACATGTATTGTACACATGTCATTCTACATGTATATTACGAATCACCCAAAATGATTTACTAGTATATGTATGTTCACACAGGAGTCTTAATCTTTGCTTCGAATTTGATAATATGCAACAGCCACCTAATTTACCTAGCATGTTATTTTAGCTGATTTAGCTTATTCATATTTTCGCCAATTCAATGTGTCGCTAATCTAAAATAAAGTATATGCTTACAATGAGATTTGTGTCACTTTAGTTAATTTAAAATTAAGATTCAGTTAATTTAGTGCATTGAGTCAAATTCGCTAAAAATGGCAAGTAAAAATTTCCACACATTCACATATGGGTAATTTGCATGAATTGATTTAAAGCATTCTGAAGGGGTCTATCCAGCAATTCCCGATTTCATCTTAAAGCATTGGCTTCATTTCAGTGATCAAAAAATGAAAAAAATATCGTTGTGAAAAGGGGGTTCGGAATGTACGTTACATTGAAAGTCGAAACAACGGCGACATATCGTTTAGCATTGTTGTTGTAGGAGGTGCGTCTCTTTACGTCTAGAACCAACTACAATGGAGTATATATCCAATGACATACACCAGTGGCGGTGGCACATGGGGGGGGGGGCAGAGGGGGTGGTGGCGAAAAAAAAAATTGTGGAGCAAAATCGTGCTGAAACCCTTTGTGTCAGCAAAATGCAGGAAATAGCGTTTCAGATGGTCTAAATTTCAAACATGTTAAGAGGAACGTGCCCCGGACCCCCTAGTAAAGTTGGTGAGCAGATCTCGCCCCCTCGTTTAAAATACCGTACCGCCGCCTCTGTACACGGATGCGAACACCATGTGTCATTGAAGCCAATTTAGTGGAACTTACGCCAATACGGACCCTGTTGATATTACCAATCATCATTGTGTTACCACGAACTATATTCAATTATTTCGAAAACTTATTTCGTAGCCACTACTTTCCATGTGAAAAAAAAGAGTTCACTTTACACACATGTACGAACAACACACACTGGAATGAAAACACGTTTGGTTTTGCTGTATATGTTTTTTTATTGCACGGGCATTTTACTTACAACCTACTTGTTACCGTCGTCGAGTGATACAAGTAAAACCTATGATCAAACCTATCAGCTACAATTATTTCTCAAATATGCAACCATTCTGTACCTATAATTATGGCCGGTGGAGATTTCTTCCATCGAGGACAATTATTTTCACCGTTTCTGGCTTGGCCACGAACAATGTGTCTTGTCAGTCTGAGTAACCTCGGCGAACACGCCACCATACAACCCACATAAGACCACATTGGAATACACAGAATGCAACGCGGTGTATTAAAATAGCAGTATGGAATTAGCCTAATAACAACACGATTCTTAACGCTACGAAGAAAAAAAAAACTACTCGAATATTTCTGCTAACAGAAACATTCTCTTACAATTCGAGATTATGTTATAATAACTTGAGTTGATAGTGCTCCGCAAGTCCATCAATTTTGAGTAACTGACACAGTGAATGAAATTTGCATAGAACGCCTTACAACTCAGTTGAGATTGGTCTAGCTACCACTCAGAAGGAATTCACTGGAATAGGTGTTTTGATCTGAGTTGCGCCTCCAATTTCTCCACACTTCGATAATGATGTCACATTATAGTTATCTCCATCATTTGCAAATGTAATCTCACTATGCGTTAATGTACGTTAAAATTAATAATATAATAACGTACAGACGTATGACTCATAAACGCAAATTTCTCTGTAAGCCTAAATATGGCAGTTTTGCACAATGTGTCTCTTGCAGCTTTTTTTTTCATAAAATTGAGAAATATACGTGTACGTTTTGTACAATTAATATAGAAACAACTACCGAGTCTAAATTCGAAATGGTGCATCACCGCGAATATTCGCGAACTTACACAATTACAAATCTTCATGCAAGTCAAGTAATACATGCAAACTATATTTAGAGAAATGTACTACTACATTTTCGGCTACAAATCTGCTCAAACAATGACCTATGACATATTTGGTTCATTACAACATCCGGGCATTTTGTACAAATTCAAAATGGCGGATCAAAAATAAAGCTCTTAGTAAAAATAACTTACTGTACATAAATAAATGTTATTTTTCACTCACCACTTAAAGCTAAAGAAAAAGTTTACATAATTACAACGTTTTTTCACTGCGTTAAATTCACACATAATTACAATACTACGTCAACCAAGAACCAAAATGTACATGTTCTCTTTAAAAAAAAATAGTCTCTGTCATTGGAGAGTAAGACAAATTTCTCGCATCCTTCCAAACGATATACATTGTATTTTCACATTTATTTAAATAAGAAGTCCCGCTCAAAAATACCGTATACCGTACTGTACTGTTCCGTGTCGCACTGTACCGTGCCGTATTGTACTGCTCCACGCATTACCGTATTGTGTTGCAATGTAAACCGTCACACTGTGACGTCATATTTGCCAACCAGCAATGGAATGTTGGGTAACAAATTCCACTCACTGACGGATCAGTACTAGGTCACGATTTGCTTGGCGCAAACGGCCGGTTCTCACTAATGCGAGGTTGCCACCCTATAATTGTTTCTGTAAAGTGAAACATCTATAAAAACTATAAACCGGATTAAATCATTTTGGTAGCAGATTAAAATGTAAACTTGGTAATGGCGTTGAAATATGGAAGAGAAACTGTCATTCAAATCTACCAGACGCGATGCTTGATGGTATGGAGTGAACCATTATTTAAGAGGGGATAGCTGGGCTAGAATGAGTAAACAAACGAATGAACACATCTCACCCACCCAGCCCCTCGGAAATAATAGAACACTCCTCTAAATCCTCAGCCATGTTCTAGATTTTCCTGAAAATCCTTCATTGTCTCCGGCAAATAATTTGACCAATCTGAACAAATAAAAAATAAACATATCCGTTTCATTTGCTAAATAACATTATTATATCTTACAAGAAGTTTGCATACGATTCAGCGTTTCCATCGCTTCACTAGCGGAGTCTCAACTAACTAAATGAAACTGCAGTTAGCTGAAGTCGATTTCCCTTACGGTGACGTAATTCCGAATGATATAAAAGACAGGCAGGTTGGGAATCTGTACTTGTGACTAAAGTCCAGGGAACGCGGTCATTGACGTCACACAGTGGTTTGAATAGACCCTGTTTGCACCGGTCGAGCCTTTGAAAGGTACTCAGCGATGATGTCATACCCGGCATCCTTTGCTAGGTCAGCTGCAGTTGAGCCTTCCTGTAGCATAAACAAGAAACTCGTTACAAAAGTTAGTAAAATTCAATTCCAAGATGGCTGCCGTATTTCAATGGAATATTTCTGGATGATATCATTATGTTTCCAAAGAAAGTGGTTTTTAAAGAATATTCTCCAGCATTAGAGTGTGCATACCAAACTTAACTGGGATTTGCCAGTGAGCCACAGAAAAAGGGACCGGGACATCCGGTATTTTTCTGAGAATCAAATACAGCATATTGCTAGTATTCATTTTACCTGAACCAAGTTGTTATGGGATTGTTTCGGAAATGAGTTTTCTTTACCTTGTTTTTAAGGCTGGGATTTACACCTGCAGCCAGTAAGGCTTTGACGACGTTTGAATGACCAAATAAGGCGGCTGCATGCAAGGCACTCTCCCCATTCTAAAGGAAAAACAAAAAAAAACATGATTTAAAGGTCGGTGATATGGGTATCTAATGAACAAAGATGGCGACTATGACTGTTGCGCAGACAAACGAGTAAAAACTGAAACGTTACCAAGCTTTAAACGAGATAATTTCTTTGATGATTAAGGTATCGAAGAAGTCATCGACAGCATTTGTGCACGTCGCGCCCAGGTCAAAACTCGTACTCGTTAAGAATGGCGCATTGGATTGTGGGAAAAGTCATGTTCATCAACACAAATGTAGCACGTGCGCAGCGCGACAACCACCGCCCTTTAAGATAACGTGGTAAAAGTATTTTAGATCGATAATACATTTACATATATTGTAAGTTATCTTGTCATCGAAGAACATCGATTTAGTTTCACGCGCAAAATACTATTCGTTAATTGGAATAATAAGCTATGCAAATGATCTTCTATTTCAATGTGTACCAGTGCGCCCTCATAGCCGATGACACGCCACTGACGCACAACGATTTACTGTGACCCAACTATATGTGCAAATTCACCAACGCCTCAACAGAAAATTGTATAATGATATAGTGATCTAGAAAAACATTTTCTATAGTTATGGAATTTGTAATTTAGGGAATGAAAGAAATCAGGGACCATAACATTTTTATTTGTATCTCAATTCACATTTACAGTCACACACAAAATCAGTCCTATTAAAGGGCACACTGGTACGTACAAACTATCCAACGCGCATGCGCAGGTTATTATTCCATCACATGGCTATGATTTACGTTAAAGCGAGTATACGTATATATTTATATAAATGACTTTCCTACCTCGAGCACACGGACTGACGCTCCATGCTTTAATAGTAAACTCACAACCTCAATATTTCCCTTGTGGCATGCTTTAAATAATGGCGTAGCACCGTCCTGGAACGTGACAAAATCGTGGGTTATAACATAATTTTATCTCGGTATAGTATTGCTTGAGATCTGGAGAACGAGTTGTTTTCTAAAAAGTGACACGTGTTTCATTTCGTTGGTCAATATGGTCGCCAATTGGAATCTTTTCCATGGTAGTATCGAACAGAATGGTTTTCTAATTTAAGTAAAAGCGGTGTCTGATTAACGACTAAACGTGAGTGGTATGTGAGAATGGTTTTGTTATTTAAGTAAAAGCGTTTTCTGATTAACGATTAAATGTGAGTGGTATGTGATCTGATACAGTTTCTTACTCTCTCTGATTTGTTGAGTAACCCTGTCAGAAGACACGGGGCGCGAATCAATAAGCAAGTTATGTGACCCAGACTCGCATAGATTACGGACAACATGATTGGTTAACTAATCGAACCAGGAAAAAAAATGGGACTCATAGACAACACAACTGTCGAAACAAACGTTCTTCTTCACCTTCAATACTATTACATGTTGTTATGAGATATTGGATGCGTAGTCGTGCAACAGCGAATGGTTCTCATGGAAATTGAAGCACGCGCATAAAAATCGCGCGATTGAATTATATACCTTACCTCTCTGGCCGCATCTACGTCAGCACCGGCCTCAAGTAAAGCTTGTACAATTGGCCCATGACCCATTTGAGCTGCTATCCAAAGCGGAGTTGCTTTGTCCTAGGAAACAAATAAATGTATTTTCAAATTGGTAAGTCGGTTTAAGACCCATGGGTTAATTAGTGTGATGTCACTACAAATTACATGTATATTATGTCATATGCAAATTGGTCTGACAAATGCGCAAAGAATTGATCAAGAAAGTGGTTCCCGGGTTCGAATTTCGTGTGAATAAACAATCCATTATGTGCATATGACCATGATATAGACGACATCATATAAAGTGATTTTTTTTATTAAAACTCACCTTTCTCGTCTGATTCACTTTAGCTCCTTTCGACAGTAGATATTTCAACATTCGTAAATGACCATTTTGTGCACCGATGAACAGAGGTGTAGCGCCGTCCTGTGTAGAATCAAGCCTCAGTTAAAATTGTTGCCATAGCAACAAAGATGAGGTTATTTATTTATTTATTTATTTATTTATTTATTTATTTATTTATTTATTTATTTATTTATTTATTTATTTATTTATTTATTTATTTATTTATTTATTTATTTATTTATTTATTTATTTATGGAGACGCCTACAGGTTTCCCAATTATAATTTTATAATATGTCTGAGCGTTAACACTGAAAGTTTAAAACACGCCATTCATAAAAAATGGTGAACTACAAAACATATCTACAATCTCATGCGAGTCAGTGCACCGAGGAATAAAATAACATTTTCGAAAAATTGTACGATAGCGAGGTAGATTCCCGAATAGGCGTCACAGACATTTGTTTTAAACACTACAACTGGGCATGCGCAATAAATGAAAAAACGAGGTCATTAATTTCTATTATTTACTCACATTGACCGTCACATGACCGCGTTCTGATGATCATGAACATAGGGTATAATAAATAATTATGCCGAAGTATTTGAAAAATATCAAAATTAAACGTTTATATTGAAATATTGGGCAGTCATTTTCGGTGGATCGTACGTTCAAAACATATTAGTCCATACTAGTAGGTTTGCTCATGTGTTACTGTACATGAATTACACTCTCGGGAGCAATATGTAAATTCATTATAAAATATTGTTAAATAATAGCGTCTATTATATCTAATGCGTTATTTACGTTTCAGTATAAATTGTATATAAATTATCATGGACACGGTATCCTTAACAATACAAGTACTGTATTACTAGTCTGAGTCTTAACACATGGCAACAAACTGAAACCGTTTTTTTTTTTTTTTTTTTGGAAGTGCAAGTTGAAAGAATGCACCAACACAGTTTAATATGAATAAAGGGTGTTTATAGGGCCAACACATGGCGTAAACCCTGGAACATGTACGTCTAACTCACGTTCATTTGGCTATGAATGTCTGCTCCCCTTGAAATTAACTCCTCCACCACGTCCAGGTGACTACACTGACAAGCGACGAATAGGGGCGTGCCCCCATCCTAGGAAGAACAATCATGATATTTCAGTAATTCATAACACGCGCGAATGTTACTGCATAATATACCATCCCATTTTACTGAACTGCTCGCAGTGCTCGCAATAACTTGATTTTTCAGGGAGATGCCTTCAAATGTGTTGCGTAAAGACACCAGAGCGGCACCAGTTGTCACTGCTCTATTATAATCAATGAAGTTCAACGTGAAAGGATAACACGTGGAATTGGAGGTTCTTATACGCCACTTTCCCGGTCGTCAGAGACACGGCTTTTCACATTACATAGATTAAAAAACAATTCATAGATTTAGAAGACATAATTACAGGAGAGCTTTATAAAATGTGATAAAACGTGTCTACCTCGAAAGTTCAAAAGTTACGTGATCACAAATACAACACTTTATCCGCACATTATTCCTAAATAACACCACTAACGGCAAAAAAAAAAAAACGGATTACAACTTACATTGCTCGGCAAATCCACGGTGGCACCCCTGTTTAAAAGCTCGATGACAATATCCAGAAAACCTCCCTGGGCACCGAAAAACAGCGCACAGGTGCCTGTCTGATGTCAAACAGATAATGAACCGTAAGTAAGTTTCACGTATAAAGTTGAATGAACAATAATACCGTATACATGAACACATGGGGCTGACTTATCTCTCACACGCGATGTTTATCATCACAATCAGTATTTTATATCGAATTACACTTTTTAATTGCGGAGAACAAATTTGTTCTTATATTAATAAAGCATGTCAGATAAAATCGTCCGTTCTATTTTATACGGCGGTTCTGTACCTCTCGCTATTGGGTGAAACCATTCATTTATACTTGGGGGGGGGGGGTAAATAAGACATGATGGGACATACTAGTACCTGACGTCTGGCGTTTGGATCTGCGCCTTGATCTAACAGTTCTTTGACACACGACAGATGATTGTTAGCTGCGGCTAATATTAAAGGTGTCGTCCCCTCCTGCGAAAACAAAAACAATGAAGACTAATTATCTGCGGCTGTGAACAAAGTGGTCGTACCTGTGAATACAAATAAACTCCACGTTACGGTAACCTGTGGGCAATACGGTGACAAGTACTATCTTGTAACCATGGTAACCATCTATGATACGTAGCAATTTATACAGCGGCAAACAGCATTATTAATGAGCAGAGTCGCTTAGAATTTCCCGGCTTAGTGAATATCACATCGGACAAAATAATTACAAAACAACCTGAAACAAACGACAAAAATTTGTAAATACTCCTTTTTTATGTTCAAATTTGAAATATAAATAATTATAAAGTTCGTGTTGTGTTTACCGGCGATACGTCTTCCTGAGATATTGTTTACAAGTTAAAAGGGTTAGACTCAGGAGGAGAGATGAGTTGTTTCCATATCGGCATGATCGGTGCTTAGGATCGGAGGTAGACATCCCGCGGGGTCAACACGCGTTACAGCGGGGTAAAACATTGATTGACTATGTAACGTATATTGGGGATGTATAGAGTCCATTACAGGATTTGGTCAACATTGGATTTTATCTAACGGGTATTTGACTTCTTTCCAGAATTCACAAAATATCGCTTCTTTCATTGATTATTTGAAAAGTTGAGGTTAATGTTCAATTAATGTTTTTTTTTATTTGTTGTTGTTTTATAGCAATTGCGACACACTAAATTTCAATTGAGAGAAAATCAAATCGTAACCTAGCTCTGGTGAAAATTGCATTTGCAGTACGTAAATACGAGGCGTACTGCCACGAGGCAAAACAATATGCATCCTCAGTAGTAACTCTTCACTATACAAGTTTGGTGAGAAGGGTTGTGGGGTTTACTTATCTACATCGCACAGATTGAACAAATCAACCAGTTATTTACGGCAGGGTCACGAACTTCCAAGTAAACCTTATACCTCAATTAATTCAAACGATGACGTGTGTTTCGTTCGGCGTATAATAAACGTGTATTTGAGTCCACCTTTTGTGACTATAGCGATTTGTTTATATAACTGGTGCACGGTACACAGTGTGAAATATTAGTACTCTGTGGGGATTACGTGATATTATGCAGCGACACACTTATGTCCGGCGGCTTGCATTCAAACAGAATATCGATTTCAGGATTGTTTTGCTGATGTGTTAGATCGACCGTCCTGCTGTGAAGGGAACGTTTTTTGTGTTTTTTTGACATAATAGTTTTTTGTTGTCGTTTCACAAACAAATATATTAACGTATTTGAACAACGGAGATCATGGTAATATAGTTTGATCAGACCAATAATTACTTGTATTGAGCTTCGGATACGTTCGTATATTATCGGAAAAGGAGACCGTTAAACTAGACCGTGAAACGCGTGAAAATAGACCACATTGCTCATTCGTAATTTAGGAAATACATGTGGCCTCAAAAGAATGCAAATATACTGAGGAATTGACAACCAAACGAAGCAGTATTCAATTAATAATTATGCGGAACGACGTCAGTCACAGATGTCGTTGGTCAACACATTGGTCGGTTGCAATGCCATTGACATTTCTCGATCTGAAAAATGTACCGAGCATTTTTCTTGCCTGGCGATTTTGGACTATCGCAGAGCTCTGCAATTTTGCGAGCGGTGAATCGCCGGCGGACTTTGTCTTCTCTCAAATGAATCCCGTATGATCCAGTTAAATTAAAAAACGGGAAAATATTTTTAAAAAGTTCAAAAACTCTTACTGGGGGGGGGGGGGGTGCTATGTATGCTGTGTGTTGTTTATATTTACATGATTGTGAGCTAGAATTTTGCCACAATGATGGCGCTTTCACTTTATTTTAAAATTAAAATTTAGAATTAAAGTCAGTTCCATTGCAATTTTACTTGCTTGTTCAGATTTATTCTTGCGGATTTCTCTTTAGCGAAATTAGCGAAACTAAAACCCGGTGAAAAAATAATGCCATTCTTACATTATCACTCTGTTTTCTCAAGTCTCGCAACAGAATTCTCATTTTGTAATTACGGTACAGACAGCGTACAACAGAAGCGATTCTTTTCAATTCAAGAGTCGATCTAGCTAGTTCAATTCTTCATTTCCCTTTCCCCTTGGTGAAATCAGATCTCTCCCGCACGCGCCTACATTTAGTTGCGCTCCATGGGACGTACAGTCACGTTTGGAAAAAATGAATGCGGTTGAAAACTTCTAAACATAGCGCACAGCATGACCGGGATAATTAAAACAACATCACACGTTTTCAAATCCAAAATAGTAATCCCGCTGTAAGCCTAACCGGGGATTCAATTTTCGATCAATGATGCGAAAAACGTATTAATGGCTTCATTCCAAGACGTAGTTAAAGCAACCGATTATGTGTGATATTTATATAACCTCCAATCTAGTGACATGTTTCCAAATTATATAAAAATCAAGGGAAACATTTATCTGATTTGATTTGATTTGATTTGATCTGCACTCTTCGTGCCTGTATGTTTCCCCGCGTCGCGTGACCCTAGCTAGTCAAGATGACTACGTTATTTGTTTCTGTCACTTTCTCTGTAAGTTTTTTTTTTCTTTTTCTGTGCAGATTCGTTTCAATTTTAACATCTCCTTCAGCTGTTTCTAAATGCCATTCCCTACTTTTACTGAGCCTTTTCATAAGTCGGGCGCCTCAAAGTTTTCTGTGGGCGAGGACCTCAAAAAGAGGCATATGGGGGGATTAACGAGCATTCTACAAAACTCATGTTTATGGAAAGGACACACGAACAAAATTACAGTGGAGTATTAGTTTAGTATCAGTCGACGTGAAGTTATTTACAACACTCAGCACTCAATGCCTATAATATACGATAACTCGCGATCACCTACAAAATATACGGATATATGACCGGGGTCATGACACGGGTCCCCATACATAAATCAATCTCAAGATCCCAAATGCGTTTTTGCATTAGGTAACACCGACATTTGGGTTCAGTATTGTTGCAATACATTAACAAATATGAAACAAATTGACGGGTGGAAAAGTCAGTTCACGTATTGTGCCCCGTCAATGGTGGATAGGAATTAATTTGAAAGTGGAAACGGGCTCAATATCATAATGTGTCTTATTTGTTCTACATAAAACTGTACATGTAGTCTAGGCCACCGCGGTATTTACGTTACATAGCCATGAGTCATAATAACCCGTTAGATCCAAAGGCCAAATAGAGTTTAAAGAAATACATTTTGATGAATTGTGGGTATGGACCACACATGCGCGCTTCATTAGAGTGCGCGTAGCGTGCTTTTACATGATCACCATGGTTACAAGTAAATAATGCAATTATTGTTTTTTTTTTATCTTTAAATGAAGAAATGTCACCCGCAATCTCATTAGTGTACTGACAAGAAAGCATGAGATAATTTAATTTGTCATCCCTAACAACGGTTGTTTCCAAGGAACTTGGGTATGATAGTGGGACCTCCACTGTGACATGCCGAAATCCCTATTGTGTGACGTGTGATTTTGATGTATGCTGGGTAATATGAGGGACGTAGCTAGGCAAGTAAATATTTCGAACGCGCCTCGAGAGATGATGGAAGGTCAGAGGACAATATATACTATTATCTCTTTAGCATTTCATTTCAGGAAATTTGTTTTTGCCAACATGTCATTCTAGGTTCTGCACGTTGCAGTGGTCTTACACGTCGGTATGGATGGAATCAGATTTCCGAGTCTTTCAGAGGACGAGAACTATTGCATATTTTCTCTAATGATGTCTGTCTGCCCTCCATCATTTTTTTGTTTTTGTTTCTCGAATGAGGAATATTAAAAGCGCCACAGTCGACGTATTTGACCGTGTACTCTCAACTCAATAAAGGTCATATCTTTATAAATATTTACAATTTTCACAATTCAGACTGAAACGAAAGGCTTCGTTTGGCCGATTGAATAACATTGGAAAGTTTTCTTTTCAAACGATGTCGTTGATTGGCTGGTTGAATTTGGCTGCCATTGACATTCATAAATATTTATAAAGATGAACAGAATACCTTTGTTGCGCTGAGAGTAAAATACATTGCACGGCGGACTTCGAAGAGTGCATCCACGTTGCCTTACACGTTGACTAAGAATCGTTGAAATGGTCACCATAAAACATTATTCTCGAGAAACACCGACGCAAGCGAACCTCCCCAGTATAGATGATTTTTAAAAATGTTTTGATAATGTACCCGCTTCGTCCGTAAATAAGCATTTTGATATGTATAATTTATCTCAAAAAATACAATTTGTATTCGATTTATATTGACATGCATGCAGAGGCGTATTACTCAGTAGCATCTGTAATTTATGCGTAATTATATTATATGAATAACGGCGTCGTGTCGATTTCACGACGACTAATCAATGGCACCCGATAATAGCAGGGCGCCGTGATGTTGTCGGAGAATTGTAGGGATACATATAAAGTGATTTAAGAAATACGGATTAACGAATGAATTCACGACTTAGTGGGTAAACTCGCTGTTCGGAACACGTGCCGAATTACGAGATATTTGACCCCCAAAAACTTACATTGAATGAGATGAAAGCACACTCACTGATTGAATTCTGGCCTGTTTGACCCCGTAAATCAACCGCCATTGTATGCGGACGAAAGGGTCCAACTGTGTTATTATCACCGCTCCCTACACTATAGTAGTCCAATGCTATTTATTGCATTTTCCGGATATGTTTTTAAAAAACGACGTTTTCCGGAGATGACGTAATGGCTAGACGAATAAAGGGTTGTGTTGATCTATGTGAACGTGAGAGGGTTGTATTAAACACAAAGACACCGACAAATGGTAGGAGCTATTGAAAACGTCAGTGACAGAACCGGATATCGCACCGATTGACAATGGAAACTTGATGTAAATCAAATCAAAAACAGTGGTCTACTAATTACATTGCAGTTATTAGACTGAAAGGGGTTGTTATCTGGCAATTACAAATTTTAGACATAATAGGAACCAAAAGCGAAACCTCCTACTAGACACAACTGGGAACATGACGTCATCGCAGATATTGCAGCGAGGTGAACGGAAAACGTTCGTCTAAAGCAAATTCATCCGTATTGAGGTAAATAGATTCGATAACGAACCCCAGAGCGTTGACAATAACATGCACTGCAATGTCAATACAATTAATACCCCGAATCGCGTAACTATCACGCAGGGTTCCCAATGTCACTTCTGCGCATGCTCCATGTTAATATCAGCCGTATGGTATCACGATGGATAACCATTCAAACGATAAATGTCCGGGTTTCTTCTCAAATCCCCTTCCGTGGAGCGTAGAAATAATAAAACAGGATACCGTAAAATAACGCGCAAACGTCCAGTTAGCACAGAATGATAAGAATGTCAGAGCGTTGAGGCGAATGACCTCGTGACCTCGAGTAGTTAATTCAGGCGTCGTGTGCCTGTATATAGACACATAATGGAAATACTGTATTGAATTATGTACTGACAAATACACGGCTGAAACCAATGTCGTTCCAGTTTTGAATTAGGCAGTCCCTCACATGGGGAGGGGCAAACATGAACGGGAAGAATAACTTCATGCGTGTTGACGGTGAGGTTCAGGGGAGAGCCACGGCGATGGTGATCGGATCAAAACACGACCTCAGGCTTACCTTATCTTTGCAGTCAACGTGTACTCGGCCTCCGTCCAACACCTTCTTCAGCGCTTCCAGATTACCCTGCAACGCCGATAAATGTAGCTGCTGATCTGATGGTGTCTCTTTCTGCAAAAAACGATAATCGGAGATGGAAAGCAATATCATATGATGATGGGAATTCGCGTGTAAATACCACGAGAAGCCATGTTTTCACGAACAGGCGGATAATTATTTAAATAACGTACCTTTGCCGACATCTCGATGAATTAAGCCAGCTCGGGAGGCCCTGCACTATGCACAGCGATAGCCACGTTCTAGCGCGTGGGTCACAAACCTTAATAATTTTGCCACTCCACCGATATAATATCGCGTTGATAGAACAGCCTCAGTCAGCTCGATTCTATAACACACTGGCCTACACAATGGGGCGGCGATTAATGATAAACAGCAGACAACCAATCAATGGAAGGTAAACCGCACACTGCGCATGCCCGGCTTTGGCGCAGGGAAACTGATGTGACAGCGACGACGACCGTCGACAAATTACTTTGGATCGCTTGGCGGCGTTTAATTGAAAAGTATTGAAGGATGCAAGCAGATCAAATTATAAACTTCTGGTCGTAATCAAGCACAACAGTCTGAGTTTACGTGGGGATACACACAAAAGAGTGTGTATATATATTGAGGTCATTCGAGCGAATTGCGGGTCTATTCAAGTTTACCACGGCACTTCACAACTGACATATACATAAAGTGCACACACGTGGATCACTTCCATTTCATTAATCACCTAAGAAACCGAGCCAGACTGGACGTTCGAAGAAAGACACTTGTTCCCACCGATTTATTTTCGGCTAGAAACGGAAATCACGTGAACTCATCAGTGTTGCCACTTTACGGTGTATTTAATGACACGCTAAAATCACCGGGGGGTAACGGTGTTCTGTTTTATTTGAAACGAATTGAAGTGATCAGCGAGCGAAATTAGGAAAAGGATGGCCGTCCCACCTATACTCACAAAAGAAAATGGCATATTTGGGAAACAGTATTCAATTGTTTTTTGTTTTTGTTGTTGTCGCACGCACCTACGCGGTACATTGAGAATTTAACATCAGGACGTTGTTAAAAAAATAATGTCATATTCTACCATGTTAGCGCCCGTTTGTAATTATTGTAAATATGAATGTAATACATAATATTTAATAAAGCAACGCGTGGGGCCCTCGCACATTGTGATCTCAGAAATAATAAAGATCATTATCTCTAGCTAGATACCCTGTGACGTATTAGTTCGCCTCGGGTGTTCTTTTGGCTTTATTCGAACATAAACGCCCATTGTTTTCTGCAATGAGTAACACCATGTATTTAAAGCGCGGTGGTCGTCGCGCAACCCGTGTTCGAATTTCATGTAAGTAAACAATGTATTTTACACG